TTCCCTTCTGTTGAGATTTCAGTTATGGCTTTACACATAATTGATCTCATGAATTGTAATAACTCAGCAACAATACAATCTCAGCTGATCATTTTCATTTTTCTTCTTTTCTGTTCAAATTAGGGGTGAGCATGGTTCGCATTGGACCGGATTGGGGTAAAATCAGGACCAATTCGTTATCTACGGTTCTTAAAAAATTAGTTTCACCATAAAAATTTAGACCATTATAAATTAAAACTAAAAATCAACAAACAAAATTAATAAAAGAAGATATTACACAGGTTTAGGTTTGAGTTTAAGTTTTATATAGAATAGAGAAGATACTATGAGGGAGGATGTATAATAAAAATATAGACTATTTGCATACGGTCCGGATCGGTTCCAATCCGGAACCGTGGGGTTCAATCCGAAACCAATCCATGGACTGCAGATTTTTAATTCTTCAATCCGAAACCGAATCACGGATTCAAAAAACCAATCCAAACCTATCGGATTTGACTGAACTGGACTAGATTACAGATTTCACGGATTCCTTACGCAGCCCTATTAGGGAAAATCGATGTGATTCCGCACAAGTAAATCAATCAATGGGAATAAAAATTAATGCGGAAAAATTAAATCAAACACAACACAAGAATTTTTACGTGGTTCCCTCAATGTGAGGTACGTCCACGGGATCGAAATCCAATTCCACTATCAACCAAATAAGTTCCAAACGATTACAAACGAGACACTAATGGTCTCACAAAACACCCTTAGGTGAATTCCAAATAATCACAAATAAACAAGAGGAAAGATCTCACCAAATAGAAGAATCAAAATCTTCAAAATCAGAGTTGAAGAAGACCCAAAATAACAAACCAAAAAAAAACTCCGTCAAAGCAGCCGAATTGAAGCAAACTGACCCAAGCCTTTTTGATTCACTGAATTGCTTTTTAAGCAGCCGCACAATGCCTTCGGAAAAGGTGAACAATTTTGTAGCCGCCGTTCTTGCTTGGAAAAACAACCCCCTACTTTTCTGGGGCAAACATTAACAATATATATATATATATATATTGTAAATCTAGGATTTTGTAATCAAACTCTAATTGTTTCCAAATTAAATTGAGTCTCCTCAAATATAATATATAAAAATATATTATACCTAAACCAAGTCAAATTAAAATTCTTTCACAAATCAATTAGATTCCACACTCCAATAAGGAGGTATATCCCAACAAGCCCTAGTTCAAATAAGTAGTTTTTAAACATTATGTGTAATGTTTATGTTCGCCAAATGAATTTTTGATTTTTTTAAAAAAAATCAGACTTTTAAACACGAAACCAAACAAAGCGAATATTCTCAGTTGTTGCCAACATCAGATGGTCCCAACAAAAGCTTCCTTTTCAATTGTAACTTTCAAAACCACACTTGTTCCATCAAATCTTCTCAAATGAACTTCTAGCTATATTTTCTTTGGGTGATTGGCTTCTTCTCTCTAGTCCGTGATCTGATTGGAAGGTGTTGTTGGGCTGTAGTCTTACTGTATTTTCTCAAAATTTTACATCTAAACAGAGCAGTTTTTTTTTTTTCGAACTCTTGAAATGGACAAATTCACACTTACGTAAGTCTACATATTTCCACATATAAAATTGGGAAAATGGATGAAAGCAAGTGGTACAATGGACCAAGAAAGTAACGAAGGTGTTTTATGTTAGATAATGTCTCAATGGGACCACATAATTAAATGTGGTGTTATCATTTATAAGAAACCTACAATTTAAGTGATTCAATTTAGTTAATAGGCTTAAGGGTATATGTGTTATGGACCTAATGTGTAGATACTAGTTGTATAATTTCTATTTCTATGAGGAGTAGAAATAGAAATTAAAACATATTGGTTAAAGTTGGTTTTCATTCCTTTTAAACTTCCACAACCTTTCAGTTTTGAAAACCAATTACAACCTTTAAAAGGTTATGGTCCCTATTCCTTCCCAAGTGGAAATAAGGACACTGCCATTTTTTTCCTAAATCCTCTCAAGGAAAAACATAAGGCACCAAAGGGGAAAGGATTAGAAGACAATAACATAATCAATAACAAAGAGTTCATTGATAATCACGCTTCCGTTTAACCGTTCATCAATGGATTCAGGTATGTCATTTTGTCTTGATTTCTTGATAATACACATGGTAAATGATTCAAAGTGTAAGGTTTATGTTCTGAAATTTATGTTTACATTTTAAACCAAAATTTTGTTATCAAAAAAGTTTCTAAAAATCCTACTCGTAAAAGCATTCGATCCCCATCACCACACAACTGTATTTTCTCAAAATTTTACATCTAAACAGAGCAGTTTTTTTTTTTTCGAACTCTTGAAATGGACAAATTCACACTTACGTAAGTCTACATATTTCCACATATAAAATTGGGAAAATGGATCAAAGCAAGTGGTACAATGGACCAAGAAAGTAACGAAGGTGTTTTAAACCAAAATTTTGTTATCAAAAAAGTTTCTAAAAATCCTACTCGTAAAAGCATTCAATCCCCATCACCACACAAAAAGAAAACAAAAAAATGATTAATTCTTATCTCGTTGTGATATATGTAATTTCACTTGGTTTAATTTGATTATAAATTTATAATTATCTTCATTTAATCAAATTATTTCAATTGTTAATATTTTTTATAAAAAATACATACATAAATGACATATGTCATAATTTTAAAAATAAAATTATAAATTTATTCAACTCATCAATAAGTTAACATCTATAGTTTACTAGTGTCAATGAAATTTAATCTCTTTTTTTTTATATAGTTTCTAAAATCGGATGAAGATATATATCCAAAATTTTCATTTTTTTTTAATCAATTGTCCTTAAACGTTGATGAAAAGGCCAAGTATAGTATTACAACATTTAATCATGGAATTGACTAAATTAAAATTTTGGAACTAATGTGACACGAAATGCGTACTTTAGAGATCATAATTTTGTTTTTAAAATTATTTTTTCATTAATGATTTAGATGACAATCTAAAAATTGGACAAGTTTAACTCAAATTAAAAAATTTAGGAATAAAATCGACAAAATTAAAGCTTGTAGAAACAAAGTGACACAAACATAACACATATTTTCAATACCATAACTGAATTTACCGAAATCTAAAATGTTGGTGAAACAATAAGAAAGACAAATGCAAGGATCATTGTGCTTGTGGAGGGAAACAAAACTCCATGAAAAGAAAAACTATACTGCAAAATTTGCTGTAAAACTCACTATTTTTTTTTTGGGTGACAGGAAGGTATATTTTGCAAGGACCGGTTGGCTAGCCATCGGACTAATCCCAACCCCAATCGCCTTCTTCTTGCTCACGGCATCAGGCAACACCATAGCACTACAAACAGGCACCACGCTAATTGGTCTTAGCCCAGGCTTCATACTTTTTTTGAACGGAAAAAGAAAATATGAAGCCTGAGCTAAGTCCAATTGGCTCGGGCTTCATATTCGCTGCAGCAGTTTCAGTAACATCCGAGTTGTTTGGTCCCGACAACGTTGGCGTCAACCACAACATCCTCATAACCAACATACCCGTTGGATCGCTTGTGTATGGACTACTTGCAGCCCTTGTTTACAATTCCAACAAGAGTCCAAGCGTTGAGAGCATGGTATCTGACTCTGTCATGTGCATGGGGCGAAAATGCTATTTCTTAACATTCGTGTGGTGGGGATGCATTTCTGTTATTGGGCTCGCTTCGAGTGTGATTTTATTTTTGAGAACTAGGCCTGCTTATGACCGGTTTGAGAAGAATCGGAGATCAACACTACTGTATTGATGGAATGTCAGTAAAAAGAGAGGAAACAAAAACTTTGATTAGGTTCAAGTTAATCTGAAGAATGACTGGCTTTTATAGATGTAGATGTCCGGATTTGAAATGACTAGGAGTCCAGGCGGAATCTGCTGTTGCTTTGTCTTTTGAGCATTATTGGATATTAGATTAGTTTGTCAACAGAGAATGCTTTAGCCTTTATTATTGTCCTTGAAGGATTGCTTTGTCATAAATTATTGAAATCTACACCTTGACATGTGTCTGAATAGTCATCATCAAGGTGTTGGGTAGGAATCTTTGGGGATGATGTTGATGAAATGATTTTATTAAAATTTTAATCAAATGTTTTATATGATTTGTGAATCCCACATCCATGTAAATATTTGATAAAAATTTTGATAAATTTTAAAGATTTCTAACTTTACTCATGTAAAAAAATGTCCTCTTCTCTTCATGTTCTGTTTCTTCCGTGGTCAGTATCATGTTTATACAATCTATTATCAAAAGAACAGAGATAGGGTCTGAAAATATATGATGATTGTAGATTCTACAAGGATTGAATAGTAAGACAGAAATTGAACCCAAATAGATTTGATAATAAATTAATTGAATACTAAGACATTTGATAATAAATTAATTGAACAAACAGTGTGTATGTTAAGACTGTGACTTTATGTTTGGACGGAAATTTAAGAAGAAATTTGAAAAGAGAAAAGAAAAAAGAACATAAAATTAAAAGAAATATAAATATATTTTATTTGTATTTCACCTATCTTTTCTTTTTTCCTTTTCAAATCACTTCTCAAATCCCCCAATCAAATCACTTCTCAAACCCCCCAACCAAACACAACGTTAAAAAAACAGAGGCTCTCGTCAATGGTGGCTTCACTACTGCCGGTGATAACCACCGTGATGGGGTAGAACCCAACATGGACATGTATATACAAAAAATTTCTCACCTGTTTATATTTTAATAAAGCTTGATGGAATAAGAAATGATTTCACAATATTACTGTGTGACCTCTTACATGGTCAGAATAAGAGTAATGCTAATTGCAGATAAGTCGACAGAGAATATGAGATACGGTAATAAAATATAATAACAAATTTGTTTAATTTAACTAACATGTAATCCCTGTGAGAGTATAATACTATGAATAGCAGCATCACAGAACTCTGAACAAAGACATAACTGAAAGAAAGGAAAGGGGATAACAACTATTTCAGTAACCACCAATCTTAAGCAGAAGAGAATACAGTGGAAAGGTGATAATAATAAGTACATTGTTTAAAACTTCCAAGAAATAACCATAGACTAGGTAATTGATTCACATTTGTCCCATATTTCACTATAAAAACAAAATTTGTAGTTGGTACAAGGTAGGTATCTACTTCCAGAGCTTCCTCAAAGACATGTTTTTCTCTGTATCCTTCTTCATGACTTTAGCAACTGCCATCTCAAAATCTTCCTGTGTCACATGCACCCTTCTCTCCCTCAAAGCAAACATCCCTGCTTCCGTGCATACAGCCTACACAAAGGACACGACTTCACATCAAAGCGTATACTCAAAAGCCAAAGTTACACTAAGGTAGTGTTTGGTTCGATTTAGGCCGTAATGGAATGTTCATTCTCCTAATTTTGTAAATGGTGATTCCATTTCCAAATGTAAATTCATTTTCCTTTTACCAAACCAAACATGATGAGAATGGGTATTCTGACAATGACCATAACATTCCAGCCTGTTTTTACCTCAGGAAAAACAAACTGGCAGAAAGAAATGCAAAGCAAACAGAGGAGAGATGACGGAACGCAGATAAGTGGAAGACTTCTTGTGTTTGGATCATGAATTTGGGTAAGAATTTGAAAAGAAAAATGAAAAAAGTGTGTGGAATGTAGTTATATTTTATTCATATTCCACCCACCTTTTCCTTTTCCCTTTCAAAATCCCTAACCAAATCGATGATCCAAACACAGCCTTAAAGATTATCCAAACCAAAGAAACTTCTTCCTTCCGAACAAACAAATGCAAATAAAAGGGCATATACAAATTTTGAAATAGTCTCTTTCCAACAAAGCTATTGCCTGTAGTGAGAATATGCTGCTTCAACAGCAGAGTGCATAGCAACAAGGGAGAGGACTAGTTGTCAAAGATCCTAGGGTTTAAGGTTTGAATACCAATCCGAGAAGATTACAGAATTTCAGAAGAATCCAACAGAGAGAATCAATGAACATATTAAATTAAAATCACATAAGTGTTAATCAAATAGAAAAAAAATTAAATAAAGTAAAATAGCTAAATCCTAGGAAGCCTGGATACGAGATACAAATACAATACGATACGGATACGGCGATATGACAAAATCTAAAAACATAGGATACGGATACGACGGAGATACGTTTGTAAAAAATATATTTTTGTAATTTTTAATAATATAATATGCATAAAATAAAATAAAAAACTTGAGTTCATTCATTTAGTTAATATCAAACATTGATTCAAAACATAACAAATCCTCAAGCAAGCTAATAAAAAAAATTATATTAATTCGGATTATCAATGTCAATTTTTGCTTGTTCCTCTTCATGAGAGAGTGGCATGGAGGCATTTTTGTGGAAAAGAAAAAGAAGAAGAAGAAGAAGAAGAAGAAGAAAGCGATAGGATCGACCTTTGGAGATCAATGATGCTATTTCATTTCAGTTTTTTATTTTTTGCTATAGAGGCTAAGGTTCCTTCATTTTTTCTTCGTTTAATCATTCCATAAGTGCTTAAGTACTGGCATATGTTTAAAATTTTTTACTTGCATTGAACTTTATAATTTTACAATTTGACCCCTATTAAAATCTATAAGAAAATTATGTTTTGGCCCCTGCCGTATCCCAAACTTATTCATCCCGTATCTGAGATGTATCCGAAATTGAAAAAATAAAAATAATTTTTGGATACTCTTCAGCCATATCCGATATGTATCTGGCCATATCGGGTGCATATCCATATCCTAAAAGTATCCGATACGCATACATGACCTTTTTGGAGTATCCATGCTTCATAGGCTAAATCCATAACTTGCAGAAAATTTGCTATTCTCTGCTGAGAAATAAATATTATGAGGGACGCACCTTGAGCTCTGCACCAGATGCACCATTCATCTTCTCTGCAATTTTCTTCAGATCAATTCCACGCATCAAATTCATTCTCCTTGAGTGTATTTTCAAGATATCCAGCCGAGACTAAGAGATTTAACATACAAATCATTAATATGGACAAAAAAGAACCAGACCACCAGAAGATCCGACCAGATCACATGATGCTTTAAACACTCATAAATGTTTGAAAGTGATTTGGTATGTCATTTAATTACATTGCAAGTTTCTTGTTACCATTACTTGGGTAAATTGTAGAAAAAATAGATGGTAGGAAAAAATTAACAAATTAAAGGGGAAACAATGAACAATTTTTTTTATGCAAGGTTTATAGAGGAGTTCAGGCTGAATGCAACATACTTCTTCATTGGGATTTGGAAATTCAATTTTCCTATCGATCCTTCCAGGCCTAAGAAGTGCGTGGTCCAGAATGTCAATTCGATTTGTTGCCATCAAAACCTGTATAAATCAGTTTAATGCAGATAAATTCCTTTCTCTTAAATAATTTCAGAAATATTTCCAAAATACACAAAGAGAACAAAATTATTAACAAAATAAAAATTAACATTAAAAAAAATACATATATATAATTGTCATCGTGATATACAGGCAGACATACTTTTATCTTGTTGGATGCTTCAAATCCATCCAGTTGATTAAGAAGCTCCAACATTGTGCGCTGTACTTCACTGTCACCATTTCCAGTTCCAGATTCCATGCGAGTTGATCCAATACTATCAATTTCGTCCATGAAGATAATTGATGGAGCATGTTCCCTGTGAAATGGAAAAAAAATCATCTCACATAAGAATAGAAAATACTTCTATCTAGAAATTGAAAATCAGTCAGAGCATTTTAGTAATGGAAGCATGCATAGAATTAAGAACCAACTTCAAAATTCAAAAACCAACAACAAATGGAGTTCAAAGACACTTGTATCAAACCTGGCCATCACAAAAAGTTCTCTAACCATCCTAGAACCTTCACCAATGTACTTCTGAACTAATTCAGAACCAGAAACTCTAATGAAGGTGCAATCAGTGTGATGAGCCACAGCCCTCGCAAGCAGCGTCTTTCCGGTACCAGGTGGCCCGTAGAGCAAGACTCCCTTTACAACACAGATATGAAGAGATCAGCAAGGCTTCTGGAAGATAATGCCTGAAAATTCTTACAGGACAAAAAAAAAGAAGAAGAAAGGTACCTTCGGTTGAGCTATTCCAAGACTTTCAAACAATTCTGGATGTTTAATTGGAAGCTCGATGACCTACAAAAATACACACAAATGATACATACCCAACATATATATATATATCATTGACTTTGGGTTGAAAATATAGCATATATGACAGTTGTGTCATAGGATATTGAAAAATAGAATCCTTCTAGACTTGCAAAAATTGTAAGTGGGAGTATAAATATTAATACATATATATATATATTGATAAATACACACAACTAATAATACTATCAAGTGAAGCACCTCCTTTATCTCTTTGATCTGCTGGTCAAGGCCACCAATCATGTCATATGTAGAGTCAGGAACTTTTTCAACTTTCATAAGATTCACGAGGGGATCAACTTTACTGGGCAGGACCAAGTGAAGCACATAACTATCATTACGTAAAGCGACTCTGGCTGATGGTGTAATCTTCGTGATATCAATACTTTTATCAATATCTACAACGTACTTCCCTTCAGGGTGGACCTAAACAGAAGAAGGATTAAGAAACATCACCAACAAGAATTTTACATTTCAAACAAGAATCAGCAATAACAACTTTCAATCAGGTTCCCCAAAACTAAGAAACTAACAGCAAATTTCAAATGTCATATTAGCTAAAGAAAACATTCAATAGAACAAAATGTTCATGGAAATAGGAAGTAATTATTGCACAAACATAAGTCAGGCATAAGCATGGATTTAAAAACCAGTCATTATGTACCGTACAGGCTGGTTTGTAAGGCTTTTGATGCCTCAAAGTTGGATACAGCCCGATTTTTGCAGCAAGGCCAGATTTCGCAGCCGTACCGGCCGGTTCCTGTTACGTATCAGAACGTAACTGTTACAATGAAACGCTACATCCTACTAATGATTTTTAAAATTTCATGACCGTGACAACCAATTCCTAATACGTACTTGTTGATACTCCTGATACTAATACTCCACGAACAACACCGTTATGTATCTCAATACCACGATTTAGAACCATGGGTATTAGCATTCATATTCTTTTAAAAAAAATGGTTTCCATAAGTTCAAGGGTAGCAGGTTTGACCCAAACTCACCAACTATTGATGTCAAAATGCCCAGGTGATGACCTAAACCTATCACTCACACAATTGCCCATCGAACTAAATAAATATCAAAGTTAGTCATTCTATAATTCATATATTTTTATTTAATTTGTCATGGTCAGTGTTACTAACGATAAATTATCATTGAATAATCTAAAATTTTAATAGAAGTTTTGATGAAGTTTTATTCCACATCTTTGTGGTTTTACGCAAAAGGTAGTAGATTAATGTAAAAGTAGTGTTGAAACATTGATATAAATAGCATACATAGCATTATAAAAAGGGTCACATATAAAAATAAATTGTGCGTGAAATATATTAAGCCTCTGTTTGGCAAGTTGATTCTTGGGCTTTTTTGGCTATTTTAGCCACAAAAGACAAAATAGGCTATTTTAGCCATAACAAACAAAACATCACATCCAACCCATAATCATTACATTCTTCTCTCACAAAAAAACTCAAAAAAGTCAAAAAGCCAAAAAGCCCTTCCCAAACCAAGCTTTTAAGCCCAGGCTAAAATAGCCAAAAAAGCCAAAAAGCCAAAAAGCCAACCCACTTCCCAAACGGAGGCTAAAACTCATAACCAAATATAATAGATTTTCGAGCCACTAAAGTTCTATCATCAGAGTAATTGTAGAAGAGTATACTTGATAACCAAAAAAGCACATCAGTGTGGTCAATTGATTGGTTGTGGCTCACGCAGCCACCCATAACAACTATCTCACCAAACCCTAGGAGGCCAAAGGACTGGCCAATTGTGGTTAACTCATATTTGTTGCATATTGTATTATGTTCAAATGAAACAATTTCTAATCAATTTAGGAGGGGTTACCTGTCAAGTTTCCACAAAATGAGTAAAAACAACGCTCTGTTTGGTTTTATTTTTAGAATTAGTTTTCCAGATTTCTTTTGATTTGATTTTTTTTCTCCGAATGGTTTTTCTCTTTTTTGAGGCGAAAATATACCAAAAAGGAAAAAAACTCTATGAAAATGATGGGCGTTTTTTTGTCTTTTCATTTATTTCAGCAAGCTAGCAGTTTGTAGCTTTTATTTAAGAAGAAAAAAAATCAGAAAAAAAATTCCAAAAATAAAACTAAATTGATGATTGTTTTTATCTTTTCATTTATTTCACCAAACTAGCCTTTCACTTTTTTTAAATAAAAAATAAATGAAGTCCAAAGAGGAAACCAAACATAGTGATAACTTCAAAAACTCAACAAAGAAAACAAAACCTTGACCCTTCTTTAGACAACACATAGATAGTCTATTCCTCTCCACAATCTTTGGTTATTTGTTTCTTTTAATAGCAACAGCATTCTCAATCCTCTCTCTCTATACATATATACAAATTTCTAGATTCCCCCTCTCTTGATGAGATGATAGGTGAGGAAGCTTCTCTTTCTTGATTTCTCAATTTTCTCCCTTTTGACACCATCACGACATTCTCTTTAAACAGCTGGTTGAGAACTTCTTTTTAGGTTTTTGGGTTCCATTTTTAATGGTTGAATAAGAACACCATTTAATGTACTAGTCAAGGTAAAGAAGAAGTAGAGAAAGAGCTTGAGCTAGCAACATAGAGAGAGAATAAAGGTGGAATCCAAAAGGAGAGAAGCCAACCAAATATACTACATATATGTAGTATAAAATATGCATTCGCAGGAGATGGGGAAATATATGGGTTTGAATTACAGAAATTAATAAGTATGTCATCCAACGGTAAGAAATCCACTAACCTTAACTAAGACCTTTGATTTCCCCATAACTTTGACCACTTCACCAACATATGAGCCAGGCTCTTGAAGAAGCTGCAACTCTTCTTTAAGCATCCTGACTGTTCAATAATAAGAATCACAAAATGTCAACACGTAGCCAACTAATCAAAAGCTAAATTAAGAATTAAAGCACAAGGTTAAAATTCCCCCAATATCCAATCAAAGCATGAACAAAATACTAAAGTGAATTTAAATTGTATACATAAAACAGTGACCTAGGCAACAACCAAAGCCCCAAATAGAGAAGTTTAACCAAACGACTAGGAGCTCAAATACCAATCAGTACAAGAGATTTGACGAAAAAACTCAGACAAATATATTACCTGGAACGTGGATCGTTATGCTACATGGAACGGAAACGTGGTATATGCTCTAAATTGCGGTACGATAAGAGATAGACTTGTATAGTTTACACTATAAGAATTTAAGTTACGTGTCTAGATAAATTTTTTTAACAATCAAGCATCCAATAAAATGTACGGTTTCTTTTTCCCAATAAACTATATGGCAACTTAGGCCTCGTTTGGCAACCGAACGTTTTAGCCAAAAAGTCAAAAAGTTACTAAGGCCTCGTTTGGGAATAGATTTTTTTTAGTAACTTTTTTACTTTTTGGCTAAAATGTGATGTAAAAAAAACTAGTATGTTTGGGATGACTTTTTGGCTTTTTACGAAAAGATGTGCAAAAAGTAGAGAGAAAATGAAATCTTTGACTTTTTTATATGGATTGTTGGCTTTTTGATTTTTTTAGTAATTTTTTAACGTTTTGGCTAAAAAAGACACTTGCCAAACGAGGCCTAAATTAGCCAAAAAGCCAACAACCCATACCAAAAAGTCAAAGATTCTCTTTTCTCTCTACTTTTTGCACATCTTTTCGTAAAAAGTCAAAAAGTCATCCCAAACATACTAATTTTTTTTAGCTCATATTTTAGCCAAATAGCCAAAAAGTTACTAAATTAGCCTATTCTCAAATGAGGCCTTATTTGTATGAACATTATGACTCAATTTTATTTTATGCCATTTTAAAATTCCACTCACCTTATATATTAGTTCATTATATTTGATTTTTTTATTCCTAAGAAAACTTTAACGTTGTGTTTGGTTCATGATTTTGAGAAAGAATTGGGAATGGGAAAGAAAAAAGGTAAGTGAAATATGTGTAAAATATAACTACATTTCACATATCTTTTTCCTTTTCCTTTTCCTTTTCCTTTCCCTTTTCCTTTCCAAATCACTTTCCAAATCCATGAACCAAACACAACCTAAGAAAATATATTGGAATAAATTTTTGGGATCGCTAAATTTATCATTTTAGAATGAAAGTATACCATGTTTCAAATCATGCATTTCAAAAGGTAATTTAATAGGTTATTAACGTTTTTTGGTAATACTTACTAAGACAAAGTCTTTGAACCCAAAAACAACTTATGTGAGTAGTTCAGTTGAACCATTGAGATGAGTTTCCGTTTTTCATACTAGAACACACGGTTTGGAATAAATGATTTTATTTTCTCACTACCATATTTAGATGAGCAAGAAGACAAAAACATGTGAAATAGGGATATGGGCTGTGAAGCATGGATATTCCAAAAAATGTGCCATCAAAGTATCGGATACAAATACACATCCGATATAGCGCGATACGTATCCTCTGTTATCAGAATCTTACGATTCGCGATTCGATTCACGATTCGATACGCAATTTTTGCAAAATCGATACGAATCTATGAGTGAATCTATTTTGGAAGTGAATCTCTAGTGAATCGCACGATTCACAATCGATTTACGATTCGATTCACTTTTTACCATTCATGCAATTTTTAAAATTATTGTGTTCGACATATTTTCGACTCATTTTTTCCATCTTCTTAGTGAAAATGACATAATACAACTTCTAATAACATTTAATACCAAAATAATCAACATATATATATGATTTGTTGTTATTTTAGTGATCATGGAGTTTTTTATAGGATTCAATCAGATTCAGTCAGACCTAACATATTTTTAACATTTCTTCTCATTTTTTTCCCCTTCAAAAAATTGTAATATATCTTCTAAAGATGTTTAAGATTAAAGTTATACTATGAATTATCTATTATTATTTTATTAAATTGAATATTACATATGTGAGGTCAGTTATACCTTTTAAAATGTTTTAGGCTTTAAAATAAAATATCCTAAATAATCCTTTCTTATTATTTGCTCACTCTTACTTAGAAAAGTATATATGCTTATTGTCCAAATATCAATATCATTGTTAACTATTGTTACTTTAGAAATTAATAGTTTCTATTTGGTTATTACCTTTATTAAGAATGGTTGATAAAAAAATCTAAAAAAAAAAAGAAAAAGAAAAGATAAGATGGTGATTTTACATAGGAACCTTTGTTAACTTCTTACCTATTAAATTACGTGATTATCATTCAAAATAACATTTTTGTTGATTTAAATCTAAATATTTTATATTCATAAGAGACATTTAACATTTAAATGTGTAGATATATGTTTTTAAGTGATTTAGAAAAAGTGATCGAATTATCCCTACCTCCTCCTACTTTTTTAGATTTTGATGTATCACCACGGTATCCGGTGCTTCATAGGATATGGGTTTGGTTTCTCACCAATTTTTTTTATTTTTTTTGAGAAACTGAAGTGGCATAGTAAAATATCTCTCTTTCTCACAATTTCTCACCAATTCTTACAAAATTTGTAAACCAAACATGAGAAAGAGTTCTATTCTCATCATTTCTTATCAAATCATTCAACATTTTTTCGTCCCCCCAGCCAAAGATGTAATTAGCAAAGTAACAACGAAGTATGAACAAAATCCACTCATATAGTTCTCAATCATAACTATCACCACTTCAACAACAAAGATTTCAAACCCCTAAATATCAAAATCGAGTAGACACATACAGAGTGCACATGAATACGAATGTGTTTGTGCTTGTGCTTGTGTGTGTTAGGGTTGCAGATTCAGAGATTGTAAAAATCAGTATACGGACCTCGGGAATTGAGATCGTTGCGCTGGGCTTCCAGGCGTTGGAGATTGTGAGTTTTCTGACGGACTTGGAGCTGGAGATCATGGATGTGCTGCAGGTAGTACTGCTTCAGCCCTTCGCCGCCGCCCTGATGTTGCTTCATCTGGTTCTTGCCGGCGGCCTCTGCCGCCGCCACGGCCTCCGGAATCCTTGTCTCTATCGCCGCTGTAGCCATTAGTTCCAGACGAGACCTCAAAAACTAGTAATCAGATCTTCTCTCTCTATAGTATATATGTCACTGTCTTCTTCGTCAAGATATTCTCTCTCTCTGCGAAGAGCCACCGCCTTAAGGGGCAATTTGGGATTAGTAAAAAATAGTTTTTAACTTTTTAATCAATTTTTTATCACATCATTTCTTATATTTTTTTATACATAAAAATAAAAAAAATTAAGTAAAAAACTAGTTTTTAATTTTTTAATCAATTTTTTATCACACCATTTCTTATATTTTTTTATACATAAAAGATTTTTATACATAAAAGATATAAAAAAATTAAAAAATTAATTTTTAAATAAATTTTCAAATCACTCCCAAGGTTAGGTTTGACATTTCCTAAAAGAAATTAAAAAGGTATTATCCTATTTAAATCATATCACCTCTTTATTATATCACTTTAAATTTAACCCATATTTTATAAAAAATAAAAAAATACATTTATTTAAATCATCCTAAACAACTCTTAAATATGTGTCCTCTACGCTGGAGGGACTGTAATATCAATTACGAAAAATTAGGCTTGAAATATCGGGTACCGTTCATCAATTCATCCTCCTTATATTCTCCACTCATTTAATAAAAATAATTAATATTTTAATTTTTTTCATCCATCATATTAACATAGAATACCCAACCCTTTCTATTTTTATTTTACTTTTCTAATAATTACGAAAGAATCCCACAATAATTACGAAAGAATCCCACAACCTTGAAGTAATAATTACGAAAGAATCCCACAACCTTGAAGTAATTATACTGTTTCCTTGCTCGTGTTTCGAATGTGAAAAACCCATTCGTCTGGGAAAAAAATAAAAATAAACCTTGTAATTTTGATTTAACATTTTACCTCATGATTAAACTTCTCTCCAGTCCGTGATCAAACTAAAACATATTGTTGGATTCGTATAGGCCTGTCACGGATTCGGTTTTGATTATCAAAACCATTGAAGGTATAGAACTCGACGAGTACTTTATCCCTATAAAAAAATCACGTTAATTGAATATCGATAGTTACTTGATCGGATCAGATTTCTGTCAACGGTAAATATAATTTTTTAAATAAATTATTGACAAATATCTGATCCAATCAAGTAATAATCAATATCTAATCAACCTGCTTTTTTACAGGGTTATAGTACTCGATGAGCTCTATACATTCACAGTTCAAATTATACAGGACTTGTGATAAGCCTCACGGGCCCAACAACACCGTACAATCCACTTTGTGGATTGGAGAGTTAAATTAGTTTATTTTATCTTTTTGTTGGCTAATTTAGTCCCAACTCATATACCAAACAAGGCCTAAGTAGTCTTACAATTTTAATTTATATAACATGTGTTTTATTTTAATTTATTCGTTAATTATTGTAGGGATATATTTTTTGAGTACCAACACGTGGCAAGGTGACGCCGACGTGTCAGCCGAGGTGCTACGTGTCCTGGTCGTGACGCCGAGGATATCTTGGCAAGGCGAGGTCATCTCTGAAGATATCGGAATCCGAGATAAGAGAATAAAAGATAAAGCACAAGAGTCTTAGGATAAAGAGGAGACTTAGTTAAGATGAGGATAAAACTCTCAGGGAGTTTATCTTTATCTCTTGAAGAGTCCAAAGTAAGTACTGAATTGGAGTCCATAAAGTCAGGCTCCTGTGGGACTAGGATTAAGTAAACTATAAAAGAGAAGCACCCCCGTGGGTCTAAGGTACGCAATTTATATTCTGAGCAGTAAGTTTAGCACTTGATTATCTTTAAGAGATATACTGACTTGATCGTCGGAGTGCCCCCGGGTGGAAGAGCCACCGCCGGAGCCTTTTCTTTCTGTTGCAGGATAACTGAAGCCATCTATTCTGCCAGTGCTCTCTAGCTGATTACTAAGCGGGCAGTGTGATCAGAAAATCACTCACACAATTTGGCGCCGTCTGTGGAAACTTAGAAGAATAGATGGCCAGTAACGAACAGAAGGAAAAGATTGGGGACGACACTCCTGCTGGGAGTGGCAGACCAATTGACCTTGACGTGGAAGGAGACAACCACAATGTAGAAACTCATGACCAGGGCCACGGAGAGAAAGACGTCGGCTAGGAGGGCAACACTTCGGAGAGGACAGACCAAAGCAAGTAATATAACGAAGATAACCTTCAGGTATGGAGGGATAGATGACTACAGAGGGATGAAGAAGTAAAAGAATTAGCAAACAAGTTGGCAGACCTACAGTCGGTCGTCAACTTCATGATGCAAAACAATGTCATGTAGCCACCATACCCGCTGTAGGATACGCCGATGCCAGCAACTAATACCCAGAAGAGAGGAAGAAGAACAATTCCCGAAGCCCCTCAGCACACCAGGAGCGGAAGACACTCTCACTGACCTTCTAGGAAAGTCGGACGAGAGGAGCCGAGACGAGGAGTCCCGAAGAACGTATCACACGAAGGACCCAGAGCCCAAAGAACATCGGCATGTTCAAGGGCAGGCGCTCTACTTTGACACAACCCATGGAGAGAGATCAAAACGAGCCCACCACGAGGCCGAAAGTAGTGTGCCGAAGAGATTGAAGTCCAGAGATAGCCGAGCTCCAAGGAGGAGTAAAGAAGACTTGAGAGATTACCTCAAGAGGAAGCAACAGAATGCTGAAGCCGAGGTAACTTCCCCGGTTAAGCCGAAGACACCATTCTCGATGGAACTGGACAAATTTGAAGCACTAAAGAGATTCAGTATGCCGAGGTTCCAAATATATGATGGTAAGTCAGATCCCAACTTTCACGTTGGACTATACCTAAATTCAATGGCATTATATAGTGGGAACGAGCCGTTGCTCTGTAAAGTATTTCCCTCATCCTTCGGGAAAATTGCATCAGATTAGTTTCATAAACTACCGAAAGGAAGCGTAAAGACTTGGGAAGGCCTAGCCGAGATGTTTGTGGCCAGGTTTGTGACAAATAAACTACAGCCCTTGAGGGTCGACGCACTGATGGCTTTAAAAATCACCAAGGATGAAGGCCTTAGGGCCTACGCAAAAAGGTACTACGAGGTGTTCAATCGAATACCCGAATGCAACCAATAGGTGGCAGTCGTGTCTTTCAAGAACGGCCTGAAAGATGACTACCCACTACGGAAGTCTTTGGCAAAGACATTGCCAAAAAGCATGGAAGAACTCATGGCGAGAATCGAGAAGTACGCCAGAGCCGATGAGGATGCGTCAGGAAACAAAGAGACAAAGCAGGAGAAAGGAAACGGCTCGCCGAAGCGAAGCTGAGGTAACAATGGACCGATCAAACAAGAAACGGAATTGAGGGCTAAACAGGCAGTAACGACTATATTCCGAGTCCCGATCCACAAAGTCTTGGATCAAATACGAAACCAATCCTATTTTAGAGGACCGACAAGAACACCAGGGGAATTTATGGGAAGAAACGTCGGTAGGTGTTGTGCTTACCACAATGAAGAAGGGCACCCAACTCAGGGCTGCAGAGCCCTAAAAGCACATTTAAAAGACTTGGTAAGGCAATGACATCTGAGGGACCTTGTTGATAAGGCCAGGACTAGAGAAGAATAGGCAAGATTGCCTCAAGCACCAGCAGCTCCACCTCCCCTAGCTCAGTAACCACAGGTAGGAGGACCACGGGTGGTTAATGTAATTCACTCAAAGGTGAACGAAAACGACATGCGAGGGGAGACTCAGAAGGTAAAACACCTACAGCACATAAACCAGGTCGAACACAAAAGACCTCGGCCTAAAGAATGCCAGGGACCGACGATAGATTTTACTGAAACCGACCTAGAGATGGTTCAGCATCCACATAATGATGCCTTGGTAGTATCCCTCCAGGTTGGGGAGTGCCAAGTGAAACGCATCCTGATTGATCAAGGCAACTCTTACGAAATCATGTATGTTAGATGTTACAAGGAGCTGGGCCTTCATCCTGATGACTTTGAGCAATCCAATGGCCCGATGGTCGGCTTTAATGGAACGCCAACGTGGCCACTGGGCGCAACAAGCTTGGAAGTACAAGCTGGCACTAAAAAGATCAAGACAGAATTCATGGTGATTGACATGCCTTCGCCATACAACATCATCTTGGGAAGGCCATAATTACATGCAATGAGGGCAGTTCCCTCAACATTGCATTAACTACTGCGATTCCCAACAGAGCATGGGATAAAGGAAGTTAGAGGCGATCAGCTACAGGCGAAGAGTTGCTCCATGGCAGCAATGAAATCTACCTGCAGCGTGCGAGAGCCAGAGAAGGTAGAAATTAAAGATGAGGACTTGGAAGTCCTAGAAGACGTCGGCAAAGAACCAGCCGAGAAGAACGAAGAGGCGCTAAAGAAAATCCTCATCCAGGAGGGGGATGAAGAACGCTTCTTTCTTCTCGGCTCCGGCTTAACCGAAAAAGAGGAAAAAGAGTTTGAGACTTTTTTAAGAGCAAATATTGAGGTGTTCGCTTGGACACCTTACGAAATGCCTGGCATTGACCTCGAGGCCACTTGCCACAAATTGAATGTTGACAGGTCGGCCAAACCTGCAATTCAGCGAGCCAGAAGACTGACGTTGATACACGTCGAAGCAGTAGAAGAAGAAGTAGACAGACTTCTGGAGGCTAGGGCCATTAGAGAAGTACACTACCCAACACGGCTATCCAATACAGTGGTGGTAAAAAAGAAGAACGGTAAATAGAGGGTCTGTGTAGACTTTACCAGCCTTAACAAAGCCTATCCCAAATACAGCTTTCCCCTGCCCAAAATTGACCAGCTAGTAGATACCACTTCAGGGCATGGAAGAATGAGTTTTCTAGACGCCTACAGGGGGTACCACCAGATCGCCATGTACCCTCCAGACGAAGAAAAAACTGCATTCATCACCCCAAAAGGCCTGTACTATTACAGGGTAATGCCTTTCGGGTTGAAAAACGCAGGAGCAACTTACCAAAGGCTGGTAACCAAAATGTTCAAACACCTGATTGGCCGAACAGTAGAAGTCTACATCGATGACATGGTCGTGAAGACCAAGGAACCTAAGGGTCATCTTGCCGAC